AATATGAGGCAGATTGAAATCACCAAGAAAGATAAAAGGGTATGGGCAGGATGCTGCCCATGTTAGTAGTGTATTTAGCTTGTTTACATGTTCGATGTCATAATCAGGTGCTCTGTAACATAGTAAGGATCGAATTGTGATATTTAAGGATAGTTCACAGATAATGGTCTCAGGAAGAGCAAGCTCCTGGGTAACTTGGATATTTTTTAGATGTAAGGACTTTTTATAGAAGATAGCAACACCACCTCCTCTACGAATTTCATGATCTGATCGGTAAACACGATAGTCTCTTACTGTGGTAATGGAGTCAGGGAGAGATGCATTGAGCCATGTTTCACAGACAAATATAATGTCGAATTTAGCTAATTATCTAATACATTGTTTGAATTAGACTATTATACATAACACTAATATAGCTAGCAATTGCTTTTGTCAACCAGATTTAGGGTTAACTTGTTTCATGAACTTAAATACGAAGTTGGACATTTTTAAACACACTTTGTTTACAACTGACTCTACACTTCTTAGCATACAATGACTTCCAGCATACAGAAATAGATTCACACAATGACTTCCAGATACCCAAGAATAGATTCACTCTTTTCGCTTTCAAAGATATCAAGCTAAAACAGCTACTACCTGGATTTTGTCCATAATTTTTGCCTCCCATCCTGTCAGTTGCAAAGAAACAGGACCATCTGTAAAGCTGTAGCATAGAAAATATATTCAAGCCTATACATAAGAATCTATAGTCAATTAAAATTAAACACTACAATTGGTGCCAGATAAGGATCAATGGAATTTAGGAGAGGCTGGAATTGTGGTAAATCAATGACTCTAAACTGATGATGTACTTAATTCTGCCAACCCAGCTCTGCCTTCTTGTCTCGTACACATTCCCTCTTGTGGGTCTGGGAATGGGGGCAGGAAGACAGGCAGACATACTATAAGGGAAATGACACTCTCCTTATTACTTTCACAATGACTCCAATCCTGATCAAGCAATCAGTCATTTGTTGTCTACTAAAAGGTAAACCAGAAATGACAATTTTCCAAATACGACAAGGTTGGTAGGGAGCTTAAAAGGTGATATACATGCAAGTGCCATCAGTTTCCTTGATATTTACTTCTGAGTCACTAAATAAATGATTTACTTTGATTTATGCCAGGTAGGCTCTGTCTTTGATGCAAAGTTGGCCTTTGGATTAGCACAGTATATGAATATTTCAAATTCTTGTGTTTAGAAAAATATATCTGTTCAGGAATCAAGCATTTATTATTCAATGTATCTGAGAATGTAAGAAATGTATTAAAATGTTTATCATAAGTAGTTAACATTGCCCAAATGAAAGGAAATGTATCTGAGAAAGACAGAGAGGCCACTTGGGCAATTTCTGTCCCACTTAACTTAGACATTTGAACTGATCAGATTTGTAGGATGCTTTGAACTAATACGTTAAAAAATGTTATTAAAAGGCACATACTAGATTAATATTGAAATTCTGCTGGTAATTGAAATAGTCACAAAATTTGGGTATATTTAGTTTTTCAACCAGTCTGAATTTTCTCTTTCATTCAGCTCATTTTCTAGGATTATTATTGAAGCATCTGATTATAAAGCTTAACTAGAGGGTGGTGGTATACATGCATGTGTGTGTGTTATTTGTATGTGTGAGAGGAAATCCACAAGCTTATAAAGCTGCTTATCTATGTTTTAAAAACATGGTACCTGAGAGGCTATAATGCACAGAAAAATGCACAGGCCACACCCATCCATCTCTGCAAAGGAGAAAAATGTGCAATATGTCATGTGATGGCAACATGATGCCATGAGTTTGATACCTGTGGTATAGAAAATAACCTTTAAAACAATATAAATGAAGTTTCTGTCATTTTTAATACTGAAGAGAGAGTTGGAGGACCATCATCTGAATAAATTCTAAACTGTCTCCATCTCACTGAGACTGTTTTGTCAAAGTGGTGATAGCTGTATTGTCTGCAACATTGAGCTCTAACTTGCATGAGGCTTGTTTATGTCTGTGCAGAATAAGCACAATATTGAGTCTGGCTTGTCCCATTTTGCCCAAAGAATGCTGATATTTCCAAAAAAGCAAGAGAATGATCTTTCTGATATACAGCTTTTACAATGGTTTGATTGATTTATTGATTAAGTGCAATCCAGCTGTTGCTCACTGTTAGCAACTACATTGATAGGTTTTCTCTATGTCCCTAAACTAATCTTTCAGGTTTTCAAATTAAGCACTTATTGCCACTATAACTGAATCCATCCAACTTGCTCCTGGCCATTCTCTTCTTCTCTTTAGGTCAGGGCGGTCAAACTCACGCCCCGCGGGCCGGATGGATCACACGCTGGCATGCCCTTGCCCAGTTTAGCGAAGGGGGGAAAAGTCCCAATACTTCACATGACACTGCAATGACGATGCGAGTTTGACACCCCTGTCTTAGGTCATTAGCAATTAGGTAGCAATTATATATAAAACTTCCTTTTCCACAACTATTGCATATGTTTCATCAGAAATACTGGCTGGATCAGAAACTGTGTTTTACTTTATCTAAGGATCAGCAAAATGATGACCTTGGGGGCCAACCTAGTCAAAATATCCCTGGTAAACATCTGCAGAATCCAAAATAATATTTAAAAGTAAATATATTTGAGAAACCAGGAACATCAGATAAAAAAACATGTTAGGAGAAGAGAGCTAATGAGACAAAAATATGGGGACATTGAAAAAGGCATTCTCAGTCTTGATAGTAGCACTGACTTATCCATGAGTTCATCCATTAACGAACAGTTATGTGAGGACATTGGGAGCACACCAATCTCCTTTTTTAGATAAACATCTGTGCAAAAACAAAAAATGCATAGGAAAAAAAATGTTCTAAAACTAAAAAGGCAGGGTACAACAATTTGTCCAATTCTTTAATTGTCCAATTATGCTTTCATAATCTTTCACTTCACTATAAAATATAACCATCAATTGAAATACAAAAGAAACTGCATTCTGTTTCTACTTAAATTTACACAGGTTTTTTTTCTTCACTAATACTAGGGGAGCAGCTGGAGTGAGGCATCAGCTTTGTGTTATCTTGCCCATTGGAGAGCATAACAAAGCAACAGAATAGAACAGAAGCTATAGAACAGACAGAACAAGCTGATGAAATAAAAAATTAAAATTCAGAAGGTGCTCAATAGGGAAATTATCTTGAGAATATTATATTCAATTATTGACTTTAGTCACATTAACAATTCTATCTCACCTAAAAGGTCCTTCAGATTGTATATCTCTCAATAGAATGCAACTACAGGATTTACATATTTCATTTTAAAAAATCACTCTTTCCTACTTGAAGAAAAATTGGAGAGATGAGCATGTATGAGTCATTAAGCTTTTAAGTGATACACTAATCCCTTGTCATACGCTCCTGTAATTCCATTACCACATTGGGGGGGGGGGGGATATCCTCAAGTACAAAGCGAATGGCATTTGATCTACATACTATTAACAAGGTTCATAAACAAAAATGGTTGCAATTTTTTGAAAAAAATATTAAGCATATTAGCATGCCAGTTTAAGTGTAAAACTAATTGTAAGGCTGATTTTGGTTTGTGCATATTTGCAAATGGCATAGAAACATACAGAACACACAGCAAGAATTCAGTATATATTTTAGGTGGTGCCTCACAAATCCTTCTTCTTTAACATTTTATTTAAAATGTGACATGATTGCCTATTAAGTTCTACAATGCTTTTAATACAATTAAAAAAATTAAAAACAGAGCAATACCCAAAGTAATACAAGTCAAAGAATTAATGGACAAAGTTAAGACATCTGCTTTTCAATAACTGAATCAATAACAATACAGTAGCAGTCAAAACTATAAATTATCTAATACAAAGCAGAAATCTGGAAGAAAGTCAGGGAAAGTCAATGATTCTTGGAAATTTTCTTGAAGACTTTGCATTTTCAGTTTCAAGTACATTTTAGAGATGCAAAAAGAGGTTCTTTTTCAAACTCAGAGAGTGAATTGTTCCTCAGAAGCTACTTAATGCATTTAAAATATAAAACAATTTGAAAGTCAGCTAATGCAAGACTTACAACATACTGTAAGTGTTCATATCAATACACAGGTGCTACATTCTGTGCCAATTAGATTTTTCAAACCATAAAGACATCACTGCAAGAATACAGAAGAAATGTAACTAATGGAAGTATATGAATGAATAAGTAGATTAGTGATCTTATCTTTTTTCTAAACATGTTTTCTGTGTTTCTTACCATTTCTTACCACAAGATTGGCTTTGCTTGATATCCATCAGATCCATCTTTTAAAAGTGTGTAAGTCCATCAACATGAACAAAAGTATGTCCTCAACTACACAGTTCACCTGATCAGCGCTGAAGAAATAAGATTAATTCATAGGATTAGACTCAAGACATTTATTTTGCTGCTGAAATAAATACCATGATGATATGTGTCTTCAGTCCATGAAAAGGCATAGATACGAAAAGAATTTGATTGTAGTTTGATAATTGCAGTTGTATTTCATTATACTTCTGTACTAGAGAATTGTTTAGTGGACACAGGGCAGGCACACACAACACTCATATATTTAGTGAATATAGAGATGTTCCGCTAAACATAGAACTTCCCTTAAGAGATATCAGATAAAGTTCTATCACATTTCTTCACTATTTCACTTCACTAAGAAATTACTTCAAGATGAATGTAAGATCTCTCTATTCAACATAAATACAACCCTCTTAACAAAAAAGGAGCTTTGGTATAAATTGGAAGTCCATTACTTTTTAGTTTTTCACTTTCTATAAACATATTTTGTTAATTAATGTCAGAAAGAAACTTGAAAGGCATCTGATGTGAGATTTCCCTTTTACATTATGCTCTAAAATTCATTCTGAAAACCACTCGTGTGTACAAATTCTGGTATTCGCCATTTCCTCTATCTGTTGTTCTTTCAGGTAATCACCAGATTATCAAACAAGTCTTCCATCTGTCAGGTATGGATGTCCATTTTCAATATGAGATTACCTATATAATTAACCCCAAACCCTTTTGAACAAAACAATAGATACTATTTTCAGAATCTACCAGGGACTGATTTTTTTTTTAAGGCCATTTAAAGGGCCTTTAATTGATGTAATTAAGTTGGCATGGATAAGCTTGTGTATTTGCATGTCCCATTGCTACCCTTCCCATTTGAAATTTAAACCCTGCATGTTTGCCTATTAATATATGTGGACATATTTTGATGTACAAAACCCTTTTAATTGAAAGTCTGTCTCATTCCATGGTGCTATGTGGTTATTTGCCTATTGGTTCTAATGTTTATCCTCTGCATTTTCTATATGACTGTCAAATCTGAAGTATTAGGTTTTCCAGGCTTCCTAAGCAAGGTATTCCTAATGTCATATTAAATAAAATATCAAGTTCAGCATTTTGAATGCATCGAGGAAAAAAATAACTAATTAAAATTTACAATGCATGACAAACATTTTCAGTGGTATTATGTACATAGCTGAAAATAAACCAAATGTCTTTTACTCACGGGACTGATTGCATCCAAGTGGCCTAGACTGAAGACATTTTTTTAAACGATCTGGCTAATACTTACAAAATAAATCAAAATAAGTAAATATTTCCTTCCATGCAGGAGTTTTTGTGTTATTTTCCAGATAAGACCTTGAAAACATTTTATATTTTTTTGTATATAGGCTGTATTTCAAACTGTATTTATATAGATTCAACCAAAAAGAAGTGTAATCTGGAATGATGCTTTTCATCCATTGATAAATCTCATATTTCAGTACATATAACAAACAAAAATGAGTATCTTGACCTAAATCCTAAATAAAGCATAAGGATTAAATAGCGAGGGTTATCAGATCTGGGCTGCAAAATTCCAGACAAATCACCAGATGATAGCAAATGACTAGAATTTCCTATTTTTTCTATTGTCTTTTAATGGTTGCTGGTCTTACTATATTATAACCACCCAATGATTTAAAAAGAAAGACATATAAGTATCAAAAGGTTCCTATTATTGGATCAAATGATCAGTCCTCCTAACCCAAAATTATCAGCAATGATTGGCACAATTTTCCATGATTTTAGTTAGGACTTTTTTCCAGCCTTAGTTGGAGATACCAGTTATTTAAACTGGGGCTTTCTTTTTACACAGCATAAGCTTTGTGATGCTGTGCATGCTTCTAAAATGATTCAGAAGTTGCTTTGGATCCTAAACATGCAAAAACTCTCTGCTGGTCATTAAACCAGCCTGACTTTTTGAAGTTTCCATGTAACTCAGTGGAAAGAGGGGAAGAGAGAGATGATAATGTTTTAAGGAACCTAGTCATCAAAGCTAATACAGCTATTAAAACATCAGGACCATGATTTCTGCCTAAGGCAGGAAGCCGAAATGAATGTATCTATTTTAATTAATTGCAGAAACGTCCCCCACTCACACCTGCATGAAGTCCAAAGCATTTAATCTACCAGAACCCATAGTGCATCACAGTCAACAAAACCGAGTATTGTATGGTGCAGGCTCCACCTTTTTGTATGTGCAGCAACATGGCACACTCCACCCACCATACTGCCAATTTTGACACTTCTATAGATGCCATCTACCTAACCTGAATCATTTTCAAAGCATACACTGTCTCTATGTTCTGTTCTGCACATGCTTTCTCTCCTTCTTCCTGATTACTATTATACCCATCCTTAGATTTAATCTGGATACCAAGCACCAAGTGATTTTTACATTAGCATGCTAATGTTCTTGAATATGTTAGCAATTTAAGATGAATCTTTATTCTTTATTTTCTTTATTTTTAGTCTTTATTTTTTTCTAGCTAAATAACTTTTGATCTAAGTAACCTGATCTCTATCCACTTATCCACTGACATGTTATTATGGAAATTAGAATTGTAATTGAATTAGAGTGTGTGTGCAGAGATGGACATATATAGATATAGATTAAACATAATGCAGTCCATGGGCTAATTTTAAACTAGATTTTAAACTTTTAGCAAAAATCCAGTTTTAAAAAGTTTATTTATCCTGTTTTATTATTTTTATAAATATACTCAAGAGTGTAGTTATATTCTTCCATAATAGAAATCCTGTGAACTGAGTAAATCTGAGACAGAGTGTTTGACCCCAAATTCTCCAGTTGTTTTCAGGCCTAAGGTGGTGGTAGAATTTACAGTCTCCCAGCTTCTAGACCTGGTGTCTTAACCACTAGAATAAACTGGCTCTCTTAATGTCTCTTTTAGATCTTAAGAAAACTGAAGTTGAAAGCCAAATCTTTCTTTAAGGGTAATTGCAATAATCTTTGAACCTAATGCATTTTGTAAGTTTACTTGTTAGTACAAAGAAAGAGAGAAATCTTTGTTATTTCCATAAAAACATCCTCATACAAATATGCTATGTAAGGATTGAACAGGCCATCACAAACTATTGTTATAGTATTTGGTTAACTATTACTTACTTAATGAGTGGATAATATGTTATGAATTGTATAAAAAATGGGTATACAAAATGACAAGAGGTCATTGAAAGAACTAGAGTTATATGTAATTTTAAACCAAATTCCATTTGTAGCATTATTACTCTTAACATACAAATGTTACCACTTTGATTTCTGCATTTCACAATATCTCTGTTTTGAATCATTCTTCATGAATACTCACAAACTGTAATGAGACTTTTTGCTATTCAGCACTACTATAATATTTTAGTAAGCTACCAACCTTTCTGCAGGGAATCTAAATATAGCCTGAAATACAACCAATTGTACTTTTTCTCAAAGAAGCCACTTACCTGCTATTAGTATTATGGAAGGTTCAGGTTAATGCTCCCTTTGTTCAGGATATGAAGACCTGGAACACGGAACATGATTTAAGGGGCTGTTCCAATTATACAGCAGTTTCTCCCAGTGCACTCAGCTATATTAATTCTCTTTTTCTTTAACAATTATATAATGCTACCTCATTCTACTTCAAATGAAATGCAAGACTAATTAAAATGTTGATTATGTTCATGATGATCTTTTTTATGGCTTGGAGTTGTTTTAGAACACGTTTTCTTCTTCTTTTTATTAAACATTTCTTTGAGCAGATATAAAAATTGTTCTGGTTGCATGTGCCAGGATTTGTTATCACTGGCCATCTGAAGAGACCCATTCTCCAGGCTGATCCCACTGCCAATATTCCCCTGGTCTGCTATTTATTTTCTCCCATCTTGCTACTGCCACTTGTCTACCTGTCTCCCCAAAACAACTGAATAGTGATAGAAGGAGCAGCTTGTCTTCTTCTTCTGCTCTCTTTTTGTGTTATTATGAATTGAGCTTAAAGAAAAAGAATAATAACACAGGAATAGATAAATAACCAACAGCCACAAAAGTTAATTTGCCCACACATTTAAATTGGAGTCAATGATGCTGTAAATATGGGATACAAATCTTTAAACATTATTATTGAGGATATAAATCTATCAGAAGGCACTTGTTTAGTGTGAGCTAAAATTATAAAACATTTCCAATTAAATGCATTGATTACATTCTTTTCAGACATATGTTTCATATGTACTTCATTCTTTTAAAAACTTTTCAAGAAGCTGATAAATGCATAGAAATGAACCATGGCTGGGAGTTTGGTTAGATTCAAGTGATTATAGCTCAACAACTGATATATTCACATAACAGCTAGTTTCCTTTATTTTGAAAAAAAAAATTAATATAAATGATTCGTTATTTTAGTCAGACTCCAAAGGAAATGGCAGCATAAATAAAAGACTTCCATCCATTGTGGAGGATGAGGAAGAAGAGGAAGTCATGGCAGAAGAGGAAGCAGCAACTCTTTCCCCAGTTCACACAAGAAGCACAGCCTCTCAACAAAAGAAATCGGGAAGCAATAAAAGTTATCTGGGGATAAACTTGAAACAGTTGGCCTCAGGTACTGTTCCCTTCCACTCACCCATCCGAGTTTGCAGTGCAACCTCATCTAGAACCAAGCATGAAACTGAACTCCATTACTATTCCAAACGGAAAGAGAAAAACTTGGAGCTGCATCTTTCATCACTAAACAGCATCCTCCCTCCTGACCTCAGCCCTCGGTAAGCATCAGGAAAGCCTTGCTGAAATAACACATTCATGAACCATTGTTTTTGCATTTCACTAAGACATTTTTCTATTTCTTGGTGTTGTTTCCATTTACATTGCTGTTTCCACAGGTCTAAAAGAAGTGTTTTATTGGTATTTTATTTTGGCTGCAAAACTGTCATGGGGATTATCATTATGTTCATTAAATGGGGCTGGAATACATAGAAGATTGGGCCCAAAATTTATTATCTGACTGCACTCACAAATTTGCCAATGACATATTTCATTAATAATAAGAATAACTGAAGTTCATTATTCAATTTTGTTGGGTTGTTAGAATACCATAAGCTTTGGCAGCACTATGTCTTCAGCCATCACTTATTGAACCTTGCTTTTAAATACCGTGGGTTTTTTTTATGTGTGTGTGTGCATGCATGTGTGTGTGTGCGTGTGTGTGTGGAAAGAAAGAGAGAGAGAAACAGGGAGATACGCCTTTAAAGAATGGATATTTTGATAGCTATGAGAAAATCTAGCAACTAAAATCCATATACAAATCAATAGAATATTGATTTACCTCATTTTATTTTCAGTATTTCTTTTAAAAAATCTATTGCAATCTGAAATGCAGCATCCCACAGATGTTTCTGAATGATTCTCATACAGAAAAAAAAAATCCCATGATGTATAAAAATTATATGACAGGTTTTTAATAAATTGCTATAATCAGGGCACAAACAGGATTAGTGGACGAGTATATTCACAAGGCTGATTTTATCATCCATAATAGCCTGTTACCTAGTTGCTGTTTAAATTTGCTCCTTGTGAAAGAGAAACAAACCAATAAGGCAATGCTAATTGTAGTTTCCCTTTCTATCTGAATCAGAAAACCATGGCTAGGCATTTGAAGTAAGTTGGAATGTAAAGCTAAACAAACTAAAAACAAATATATATTGTTAACTCTGCTTCTTGATTAATTTTCCCATACATAACAGCGCAAAGCAATTGCATATGGCTGTCTCAAACTAATTAATATCACAGCTTTAGCCAATTCTTGATCATTTTCATGCAGCCCCATATGACCTCATTTGAAGATGCAGTTATGAGTCTTGCTGAGCATACTTTGGTGGACTCACTCCAACCTTTAATTCAGGATCTAACCACATGTAACATTTGCACTGCTCTCTGATTGGCTTCATGTCTAAAAGGTGGCATGTTATTATCACTAACAGCGCAACTGATTAATTTCTGGCACAGCAAGAGCATAAGCAGAAATGTTGTATGTAAAATATAAGTGCCTGGAAATAAGTGGTTTCCCATTAGTAATTCTTGCTTCATATCACCTCTTGTTGGGTTAAATTGTACAGAGAAGAATCCATTGCCCCTTTTGCCTAGTCTTTTAAAGTGAGTCAAGGATGGCCTTGCAATCCTTCTCACATCAGTTAGTCATTTTAAAAAGCTATCAAACTAAAAGCAGCACAGAGTTAAAAACCTGGTTGGCTTGTTATATTTTTGGTCTAAGGTCAGATGATTGGAGCATCTGTCAGGTCACAATGGTGCAGAAACTCTGTCTTTAAGCACAATTGCAGGATGCTGTGAATACACTTGAAAGTCTGATTCATAAGCAAGAAAATCATGATACATGCAAGTGTCGAGTTCAAAAACATGATGTGATAACCTGAGCGGGTGGCTGTGATGTGACGTTCCGGGTTTTGGTTTGGCTCCGAGTTTGAGGCCTGGATATGTTCATGGCATGTGTCTGTTTGCTCAGGATATCATATCACAGAACTCAGGAGGTTACACCACAAAACCTCAGGATGTTGCAACACAGCCAACGACCCAGGAGATTACAGCACAAGGCCCAGGATGTCACAACAATAGAACTCAGAAGGTCATCACACAGCCCATTACCCAGGTCGTTGCAACACAGGAGGCTGATAGACACACAGCCAATACCTCAGCCACACATGTTCTTAAGAAAAAGCCAGCCAATTTGCAAACATCGACTCCATCAACCAATCAAGAAATAACAATACAGCCAACCTCCCTACCAGTATATATTGGGAGACGGCAGCTCCAATCACGTTATCCTCGCACAAGTACGAAGCCAAAAGCACCAGCCTGAAGATGGTGAGTGGGACCTCATCGAAACGTTGCCAAGATGCTCTCAATCTTACATGGGAAAAGACCCAAACACGTCAAGACCTGCATACCTGTACCATGAAAATCTATGAAAACATATATCTATATCTGTGTGTGTGTGTGTGTGTGTGTGTGTGTATGTATGTGTGTGTGTGTGTATGGTATTCAGCTTTCTTTGGGTATTTTCCCAAGTTGTTATAGTTGTGCTTTTAAAGTTGTAGCAACGTTTTGGCAGAATCTCATCTGCCATCATCAGGCTTCTGTTGCTACAACTTTAAAAGCACAACTAGAACGACGTGGGAAAATACCCGAACAAAGCTGAATACCATACATATAAATACAAAACAGACAGAAAAATAGCAGCCATCCTAAGAAACCCCAAAGATAAAACTGACCTGGAAAACCAAGGCATATATGAAGTCCCCTGTGCATCATACCCTGCCACATACATTGGACAGACCAATAGAAGAATAAGTACCCACCTGGATGAACACAAAAATGCAGTAAAAAAGCTGGAACACACTTCCTCACTAGTCCAACACTTGAAAGCAACAGGTCATAACATCGACTTCAATGGCACCAAAAACGCTAGCCACTATAGAAAACCCCAGCCACAGAATTATCAGAGAACCCATAGAGATTGAAAAAAGACCTGAAAGCATGAATAGAAGAGATGATTCCACCAGACTGTCATTTATTTGGAAGCCTGCACTCACAAACAAAAAAATCTCCACATCACAAGCCAGGCAAACACCTGGGCACAAACAGATCCCCCCGATACCTCCAGCTCAAACACACCCCAAACAGGCACCCAGATGAAATCTAGCTTCCTACTAAATGATAGCTGTCCATTTGCTTGGAGCCAAGCCGTACTAAAAGCCTCCAATACAGGAACACAATGTTGCCAGCCAATCAAGACAAAAAAAGCCACAAAACAGACAGAAGATATTAGAAACACCAATCAAGCAGAACACAGCAAACTCCAAGACCAATAAACACAGACCAAGACTCCCAACCAATCAGGATGAAGAAAAAAACATTCTGGCACAGCAGTAGTCTAGCCCCAAATTTAAAACTGAAACGGCTGTGAAAGTCTGACTCACAGACGAACACAATACAGAAGCCTGATGATGGCAGATGAGATTCTGCTGAAACGTTGCTACAACTTTAAAAGCACAACTATAATGATGTGGGAAAATACCCGAACAAAGCTGAATAATATATGTATGTGTGTGTGTATGTATGTATATGTATATGTATATGTATATGTGTATGTATGTATGTATGT